CTGGGGCCCGGCCGCTGATGGCGGACTGCGGTGCAGCCCAGCCCCACCCGTCCCTGCCTCCGAGAGCCGGAGCCGTGTGGAAGCCGTTGCTCCTTTCTATGCCCTCTTGGTTGCATTCGCTGCAACGACTGTATGAATAGACAGGTGTAAAGTACTTCGGTTTTACAGCTCATGTCACCAACGGAAAGTGAAGCGATGTGGTCTAAAAACTGCCTTTTCCTCTTGCTGCATGAATCTACACAAGATGCACAGGGCTGAACAAAAGCAAACGGTCCTGATGTCCTCATAAAGTATTCACGGACTTTATTAAACTGTATTTTGTAAGCTAAAATACTGAAGATGATCATGTAAAATGCAAGGTACGGCAGATTTTCTATACAGAAAGATCATCGACCTGGTTAGGATGACTGGTATTTAGTACTACAGTTGTCACCAATATTTTTATAGTTGCTTGATCCCTAATATGACATATGCACCATCCCAGAAATCTTTACGGTTACCTTCCATGATAGCTGTCAGAGAACTAATCTGCAGGAGAGGTGGATTGCATGCGTTGTCCACAACCTGAGTGAAAACCTGTCGAGCCTGTTGGGCACAGAGGTTGGTCAGCAGGTTAAAACCCAACAGGTGGCTGGTTACAGGGGCCTTCCACAGAGGTCACCACTGGTGCTGATACTGCCTGACATCTTCATCAACCACCTGGACTGTGGAGCCCTTCTCGGGTTCATGGACAACCCCAACCCGGGGGCAGCAGTTGGTATGCTGGAGGGCAGGACTACAGTGAGGCATCTCAGCATCCTGGAGGAGTGAGCTGATAGGAGCCTTGTAAAGTTCAACACAGACAAATGACAAGCCTTGCACCTGGGACAGAGTGACTCCGTGCATCACCCACACATCAGTTTGTGCCGGGGACTTGCTAGGGAGCAGCTTTGCTGAGGAGGCCCGCTGGACGTGAGTGAGCAGTGTCCCTCCCTGACGACGAGGGCTAACTGCCGCCGTGTTAGGGAAAGCGTGGCTGGGGCAGGGCGGGGGTGTTCCCCTGCACTCAGCAGTCCTGAGGCTGCATCTGGCGTCATGTGTTGCGTTCTCCTCCCCCATAGTACAAGAGAGAGATCACAAACGGGGGGGGGGGGGTGGGGGCGAGTCCAGCAGAGGGCTACTATAATGGTTAGGGGGCTGGAGCGTATGATATGAGAGGCTTGGAGGGCTGGAGTTGCTTAGCCTGGAGTAAAGAAGGCTAAAGAGGATTTAATTGCAGTTTTACATAACCTAAAGTGGGAGTCTAGAGAAGACAGAGACAAATTCTTAGAGATACAGAACAGAAGAGGAGAGGCAGTGAGCATATGTTGCAACAGGGAAAATTACAAATGAGTATAGGGAGAAAAAATTTTCAACATGAGACTAGTCAAATACTGGAATAAGCTCCTTGAGAGACTATGCAATCTGCATCACTGGAGACTTGACTGCACAAGCCTCTGAGCAATATGATCTAACTTTGATGTTAGCCCTGCTTTGAGTAGCAGGTTGGACTAAATGGCTTCCACAGTTCCCTTCCAATCTAATTTTTTCAATGACCCCACGCTTGATTTTTATAGATCTACGATGCAGGAACAAAACAAGCAATATCTCTTTACCTAGTTTATTTCATTTACATAAACAGAGAACATACATTTACCAGAGCAGCCTCCTATTCTGGAACATGCAGGGCTGCAGTAACATCCATATTACAGAAGCTGCCAACAAAACTGCAAGTAAGCCTCAGAGGAAAAGCCACAAGTCAAATAAGCATGAATACATGCTTATTTGGTCAGCTAAGGTCAGTTAACGTTAGACAGCAATTGTTGTTATCTAACCTTGACTTTAAAGACAATTGTTCAGGCAGTGTCAGAGGAAAATTTGCAGTGTTGCTAGTTATGCTATTTTAGTCTTAATACTTGGATAGAGGACCTTGTTGTGGAGCATGGGCCAAGTAGACCTTATAGGAATCTCACAAATAAAACAAATTGTAATGAACTTTGGGAAGGTTACTGTAAATACCCTACCTTGAATCTAGCTGCATTACATCTGTAAAATTCTACAGTTTCTTATTCCACATGCCACTCACTTTATCAATATTGGTAATACCTTTTTTCTGTTGGATATGTCATAACCTGGTGCTCCAGTCCATTTTCTTAAGGCTGGAAAAGATAAAAGTTTTTCTTGTATCTCAGTCTGATAGAATACTTGTTGGTCTTTGTATTCTTTTTTTTTTTTTTTAACATGAACTATAAAGGAAACATTGATGGCATCCCACCAAAATAGCTTGATGGAAGTTACCTAGTCTCCATAATACATACTATAATCTTAGATTGTTAGTATTTGAAGAGTTTCAGTTTCATAATGTGCTGTATAGTAAGCATGTAACATAGGTCATTAGAAATAATACCAGTGCACAGCAGAGGGGACGTTCTTCTGTGAGCCCATATCCTCATATTATCTCAATTATTTATTTCACACCTGAAAAGAAATCAGCCCCTAGGAATCAAATTTCTACACAACAGTGTAGTTTTGGGGAAACAGGAGATGTATCTGGTAGGCTTGTTTTCTTGGATGGTCATTTTTATACAGACTAGCTGACCTGGGAAATAAAGGTGAGATTTCGCATGAAACTGCTGCTATATAGATGACCATCCCCCGGTGAAGAGTCTTAAATGTAAGAGAGACAGCTTCAGTCACAGTTCTCTCTGTGTGTGGAATCTACAGGAAAGTGGCTATACCAAATCAATGTTAATCTGAGATTCATGCTGGAGTTGATTGATTGTTGCAGGTATAGTTTACCTTGTGAGATCTTTCTATAAGCAAACAGAAGTCTGTGTATATGTGTGTGTATGTATGTGTGTGTGTGTGTATATATATATATATATATATAAAATCAGCTAGAAGACAGGCTTTGTAAAAACAAGGAACAAATCTTTGGGGTATCAGGAGTATAAACTATCTTCATGAGCTATTTCACTCACAGTATTAATGTTAGCTGTGTTTTTCCCCTTCTAATTCTTTAAAAGACAAATAATTTCATGAATATTAATCATTTTGCCATTTTGCTTAATAACAATGAATAAACAAAAGTAAATACATAAACATAGCATTTAAAATGAAGTGGGAGTTCCAAATGGAGTGATTCTCATTCTGGTGGAGGGAATGCATGGATACAAAGTTTCCAGTGTGTTCTTACACCACATCTTTAGGAACTTAATCCATCTAGCTAAATTAGGAGGCTAGTCCTCTAGCATCCTCTGTGCTCTTGGAGAGAGACAGCAATCTGCAGAAATAAAGGCCTACTCTACTAGTACTGTCCAGAGGTGTTTGTGGTACTACTGTGTTAGTGATTTAGGATAACAAATACACTTTTAAAGTGAATCTCCTAGTCGTTTTTATTTACTGTGCTATAGTTTGTATCACAAAATCTCTGACAGTATGTAAGGGAGTCTTTTTGGATGACGGAATTAAGCCAGAAGATATGCTTCAGCAGCAAATCTAATGTGCTCCAACACTAATAATTCCTTTATTGAGTGCAGTATTTCCTAAAAATAATATGGAAAAAGAACATGTAATAGATTGCACCCATTTGCTAATTGCCCCCCTCTTTTAATAAACTTGTATGATAACACAATATTTGATGTAGAAGCCCCGAATTCTTATTGCCCACTAGATGTCACCATTGACACAAAAAATTGTAAGAACATATTTTTCTGCCTCTTAAAAGTGGGGTTGGTTGTTTTCACCACACCTTAAAGAAAGTAGCATATTCCAAGAAATCTGTTTTGTTCTTTTGAAGTTGTGAGACCTCTGACCTCATTTATTAACCAGAAAACACTGAAGATATTTTACAGGAAACCGCACCTGGAATATTCTCTTGAGGCTTGGCCCCACGTTGTAGTAAGCTTCTCTGTTCCTGACCTTAATTTATCTTTCTCTGCTTCACTTACTTACATTCAAAGCCATCTGGAATGCCTATGCCAGTAAAACATATCAGTAAAGCCTGTTACATACCTTGTTAATTGGAAGTTTAAAATAGGCAGTATCTCATTTTCCATTTTATTATTACCTACATGTATCGCATCAGAGGAGCTTACTATAACAACTTTCCCTGCCTTTATTATTGCCACAGTTACACTGAGATTATGAACAAAAATGAAAGAAGATAGAAAAAGTTCAGGCAGCTTTATTTGCCTAGGTTTAACTATTCTGTGTTAAAATGTTCTTCAGCCATACCGGATATAGTCTTTGTAATGAGAGTCATCATTTGAAACCAATTTTCAGTGATTTTGTTTTGATTGCTGTTTCATATATTAATATTTTTTAAAGTCCAAAAGGGCAACAGTCATAATCAAGAGGACAGAACTCTTGATAACTTAAAGTAGCCCCTAGATGAGCATGTTTAAGCAGTGTAAACTGGTAACTGTGGCTGAATTAGTATGCTGCTTCTTTATTTCCTCAAGACCAAGACCCACCTAAATTACAGTCCCTTTTGGCTAGAATTGCTCCTCTGTATCACAAGGGGAAGAGCAGAATAGCTGTGAATCTGAGCAATTGTTTCTGAGAGGCTCTTGAATTAGAGAATATGTTTCAATAGAGGCTGCCTTAGTCAAAAGGTTCCAAGAGAAGGTGTTTTTTGCTGCTTGTGCAGGTGCTGCTCCTGCTGTGAAAAAGTTGTCTTAATTCCTGAATGAATTTTGCCGCTTCCATATTCTTTCCCTGTATTTTGCCATATATTTTCTAGATTAGAGTTCCCTAATTGCAGTTATTCCTACATACTACTTGAAACCAAAATCAAGTAATCTCTGAACTGCGATACCCTCAAATAGACTGAATTTAAGTTTATTCCTGCAACACGTATTTTCCAAACATCAAAGTATCCATTTATTAAAAAGCAAAGATATTAGGGCTTCATTTAATATTGAATTCTTTAAATATAGCTAGTGACATTCAGGTGTTTAATTCAAAGATGGAAAACTGACAGAGGATTATAGTACTTTGCATATTATATCCAAAGTTCACTTAGCATATTATATTCAGAATTTATGAGCATCATGCAAATGTTATCCTAAGTGTCACATCATGTCATAGTCACTACGGAAGAGGCACATGTGGGACAGAGAGTCTCTAAGCAGCTCAAGATCATAAAGTAAGAACACAGAATTCAGAATATCTCCTCCAAATATTAAATGACCATTTTTTCTTTCTGATGTAATATGTTACACAGAACATCTTTTCAAGTCATCCCACCAAACTCTTGACAGTACTCAGTTAAAAGGGTTTCAGTTCCATCAGATCTTTGTTATTAACTTAACTGAGCAATTTCAGAAACAAGGATATACTTATTTCATTCTGGAAGTGGTAAATTCATCCACATGACAGAATGACAGTGGAAGGACATTATTTTTACATTGAACCTTTAAGATGTCTCACTACTGTTCTTTTCCCAAATGTATGGAAAAGCTTACATAAAATCACCATTTTATATATATATATATATA